TGATGCATAGCAAGTAATTGCAAAGACCATGGCCTGGATCAGGTGCACCTAAGTCTCCAGACTGACATCATTGCTCTTCATCGTTGGAGAGGTCTCTGACAGCAGACTTTCCCAATGCAATTTGTCTTTTAATTTCCTGGCTGCTGGTTCCAAGAGTGCGGATTGTGGAGTAATAAATGTTGGAGAGGATGTGGCAAGAAAGGAGCTCTTACACATTGTTGGTAGGATTGTAAAATGATGCAACGATTCTGGAAGGCGGTTTGGTGCTTCCTCAAAAAGTTGAGCACAGAAATTCCATATGACCCAGCTATTCCACTACTTCGAATATTCTCAGAGAAAATGAGAACTGAGGCACAAACAGAGACTTGCCCACCAATGTTCATAACAGCATTATTCACCACCTCAAGAACATGGAAACAGCCCAGATGTCCAACCACAAATTAATGGATTGAGAAATTATGGCACATACATTCCTTTTAAACAGTTCTTTCCTTTATCTGTTCCAATGCAATAGTCATACTCTATCCTTTCTTGTCCTGCTCTCCTCCCAGCCCACCATGTCAGACCTGCTTTATAACAATGATACTAATATAGCATTTGTTCTTTTGTAACTAGAATATTTCTTTCAGCATAATGTCCTCTGATTCTCCCATGTAGTATAGTGTTTTATAAGTTCATTATTTTTCAGTGATACATACTTTTCTATTATATAAATATGCCATTTCTTTATAAGACTCCAATTTTACCAGCACAAAAGCCAAATAATAAAATGTTAGATTAGTGAACTTAAGAAAGACATCAGAGAGAAGAAGAGAGAAAGCTTATAACAGTTTTATTAGTGGTGCTCCTGGGTGAGGTTCGTCGTTCTGAAGATGCAGAATGGGGAAGTTGTACTTTGAGCTTATTGGGAAGGGTTTTTATAACAGGATCTTTAGGGAGGGACATTCCATTGTGACTTATGGTTTAGCCAGGCGGGCAGGGCCATTTACTCTTCTTGTCAAACTGTATATTCTTTGAATTCTTCATTCTCCCCCTTAGCCTCCCTGTCTGGACCTAACATAAACAAAAATTAATCTCAAACTTAAAAGCTATCAGTAAAACTATACTTCTACATCTAGTACTACCCAATACCTACACTCTGCTAACCCAAGTACCCCCAAAGTCTATTTCTCCATATTATACTTATACTATATATTATCAACTCTCTCTCCACTCTCTCATCCTTTATTTGCTTTAAGTAAACTAATCCCAAAATACTGAAAACCAGTCAATATAATTAAGGAAAAAAATTAGCTAAATTGTTCTAACAAACTCAGTCTAATAAAAGTTTCCTATTGTTGATTGCCCTGTTATATATTGGAGCAGTTCCTCAATAAATTTCCAAACTGTCAGTATATGATAGATATCTGTTCTTCAAGCTCATATAGTAGTAAGTTATCTATTAAACACTCAAAACTTCTTCAAATATAATTAAAACAAAGCTTCCACCCCTCAAGTTCCCATCAACAGGCCTATTGTCCGAGACCACATACCTATGTCGCAAATCTCCCTTCCCCACCCCCACCAATGTCTGTCCAGACAATTTTCCCTTCTTAAGAAATTCTCCTAAAGTCGTACTCCTCCTACAAATTCTTATACAAATCCCTTCCCCCTTTCTAAGCAACTCATACTCCACAATTAAAAAAAAAAACAAAACAACAAACAACAAAAACCCAAACAAACAAAAAAACTCTATAGAGAGCTTCCATCATCCCAACCTATCCCATATGCTGAATTCTTACACAACCTAACATCAACAAAGCCAACCCAAACTCACTCTGCCTTCTGCTCAGAAAGAAGTCCAGATTTCTCTCTTCCATTACTTAATATAAACCCCCCACAATGTCAAGATTGGCACAAACTCTCCTGTCTTTTTTG